AGAAATCACAGATTTGGAATTAACAACTTCTCTTGCAGAGGCTGAAAGGGTCAACCCTTTGGCCTTCATCTGGACAACCTGCTGTTGCAGGGTTTCAGTCACCTTAGAGAGGCTCACCATCTTGCAATCTCAGTGAAAATTAGAGGAAAGCTGCCAGTTAAATAGGGATTGTCATATAATTAAGGAAATTAGCACCAGGTACCAGATTAACACCAATAACTCGGATGTATCTGTAAGTGTTCTCTAATTTCTTTTTCAAATATCTCATTTAAGTTTTTTTATACTTTGCTTCAGAGTACAATTTGAAATATGCTAAAAAAACTGCCCTTCTACTCCCATTAGGATAACTTCAAATAGGACTAATCAGTGACCTTAAAATTTAGGAAAATGTAGGTTGTTCTCTAATTTTGATCTCCACTGTAGGTCGTTTTTAGGTAGTAAATAGTTAGCCTCTTAAACTTCTAAAGTGATTGATTTGAGTCCTGGGCAGGTGGAGACACGTGACCCTGTAAAAATGCTTCACATTCCAAGCACTACCCTGGATACTGAACATATCTACACTACCATCACAAAACGGTAATTTTAAATGCGTGTTACCAACTAGATATGTATATAATTTTGTCTAAATTTTTCTATACTACATAGCTATTGTATTCTGTTGCTGTCAAAGAAGCACTATCTACAGAAAAGTGCCCCATACTCGTCCCAGATTTGATCTGAAACCTACTCTAAATGTATGTGTCAGAAACACGTGGTCATCATCGGAATGGAATGAGTGCTTAAATTGGTTTAAATTATTCAAGCCTGTTGTTTGGACAATAAGTACTTTTCTTTTAAAGGGGTCATATGATGCTGCTAAAAAGAACATTATTTTGTGTATTTGGTGTAATGAAATGTGTTTATGCGGTTTAAAGTTAAAAAAACACATTATTTTCCACATACTGTACATTATTGTTTCTCCTCTATGCCCCGCCTTTTTGAAACGCGTCGATTTTTACAAAGCTCATCAGTCTGAAAAAGCGAGGTGTGCTCTGACTGGCCAGCTATCCAGTGCGTTGTGATTAGCCGAATACCTCAAGCGTGAGA